AGAAAAAAAGGATGTAGCACCGTCGACCCACCTCCCATTATGAGCCAGACTGCTCAGGTTTCATTCAGACCACTTACCAGCATGGAAATGACCCCCATACTTACGATGGCCTCTGCTTCTTCTTTAGGAGCAGCTCGCTTTAACTTCACTGGAGTAGTTCCAACAGGGGACAATGGTGGCGACTTCACAGAGCCTGAAGGACTTTTCCTATGCGTTAAGTCATGGTTCTGTTTAGTGTCATTATTATTGTGTTCCGTTTTATTGTTCATAGGCAAATTGGAAGACAAAATTAGGGGTGAAACACTCGAAGAGGAATTTGATAATTTTCTAAAGGCATTATTGGTAAAGCTTGCCTGAGGGGGAGGCTTGAGTTGATCATTATCTCCATTCTCTGTCTTTTTCACTTTTATGCTTGTACTTGTTGAACTTCCATCAAATACAATGAGGGGTCTTTTCCTTAACCCGTCTACAGCGCTACTCCTGAAATCAAAAAGATATGCTCTTGAAAAATACCATCTGGAATGGCAAACCAGTTCACTGGAATTCAAGTTCAAATAAACAATAACCAAGAAGATTTATTGATAAGACTAATCTTTTCTAAGTGGGACTATTAGAAATTAAATTTTCTATGTTCACTCTAAATGAGAGAATTCCCTAGTGTTTTATTTCAAAGTTTAAAATATTTATGTACAAGAAATTCAAAGTTAGCTTTAATGTATATACAAGATACAGCTGTTTTTAAAACATCAATTAACTAGCCCTGGAACTTAAAATGAGATTTTCTAGTTAAAAAACAAACACCAGCTTATTGATAGGGCTATCTTAAGCATGTAATCTGTTATTATTTAAAAAGGATAAAAAACTATAAAATTATACCAAGACTACCACAGTGGTAATCTACAAATGAGGTGCAGCATTCTATTCCATTCACTAAAGGTCTCTAAAGCCAAGACATTTTCTAAACTAATTGTAACTATGATATTTGTACAAGTTTAATTGTAAAATTTGGCAAGTATCTTCATATTTACCTTCTGGAAATCTAATTTCCACTCTTAATTATAAAGGTTAATAATGAAAGCATTCGTTTGCTTATTACTCATCATACCTCAAGCTATATAACAGATTAACTAAAAACAAACAAAACAAACCCTCTTTTTTTTTTTTTTTGAGACAGAGCTGCATTCTTGTAGCCCAGGCTGGTGTGTGGTGTGCAGTGGCACAATCTTGGCTCACTGTAACCTCCACCTCCTGGGTTTAAGCAATTCTCCTGCCACAACCTCCTGAGTAGCTGGGATTATAGGTACACGCCACAAGGCAGGCAAGTTTTTGTATTGTTAGTAGAGACAGGGTTTCACCATGCTTGCCAGGCTGGTCTTGAACTCCTGACCTCAGGTTATCCACCTGCCTCAGCCTCCCAACATGCTGGGATTATAGGCAAGAGCCACTGTGCCCACATTAACAACAACAAAAAAAACCTTTTAATTAAACATGTTAAAAATACTTGAGGTAGCCAGTTATTAGGAAGAACATTTCAGCTCTGCTACTCAAAGTGTGATCTAGGGACCAGCAACACAACATCATCATCATCTTGGGACTTTGTAAGAAATGGAGAATCTGGGGCGTCAACCTGAACTAAGCATCAGAGCCCATATTTTAACCAGATTCCTATGCAGCTGGCCAAACTCAAAAATTTTTGGGTCATCAATGAACATAATTTGGTAGAAAATGAAAAGTAAAGTCATTGTATACCCACTGCCTTTGTAGAAAGGAAACAGAGGGACTGAGAGCAGGGCTTGACGGCTTGTTTCATCTAAGATTCAAGAGGCACATTAAAGTTTGAGAAGCACCAGGGTATGTTGCTATGGACCTAGTCCTAGCTCTATGTGACCTTGGGCATGTTATAGCACTTCTCAGGATCTCGGTTCCTCCACAGATAAAATAATAAGCAGTTTAACAATACAAAATGATCTCTTGGATCCTTCCAGTTTTAATGCTCTGAATCAATCGTGAATTTAAAAAATAGAGTCAAAAAGCCTTTCTGAAATGATTTTGAGGGACTAATCAAGACAGTTGTAAGATGATTGCTTCAAAGAAAAGAAAAACCAGCACAGAAAGTTTTGCTTATAAGAACAATATGCCTGAATGTGCTGATCAAGAGGAAAATATTGGCTGAGTAAGAGCAAAAGTAAATTAAAAGGCATATGTAGTGTAAACCATATTTATGAAAGTTAACACTAATACATAGTCTGTACTAGTAAGTAAAAGTAACCATCAAGCTAAACTGATGGTCAATCTGAAATGTGCCCTTGATCAAAGGTCAGATTTTATTTTCCAAAAGACAAGGAGCAGACATGTATTCTTTGGCTATCCTTCATACTTGAAGAATAATCTCAATCACAAGTTTTCTTTGTAAAACAGGGATTAAAACTCAGAGGAACATACTTCCCCTTCCCCTCACCCTCCTACTCTGTCTTCTCCTACTCTCTAGTGTACTGCCTATGACAGCGCCTTACAAACAGAAGGCCCCTTCCCCTCCCCACACACCTTTAAAAAATTAATTGATCAACAGTATCCACTTTAGATATAATAAACATCAGAAGAAATAACTAGTTCACTTAAGGATCTTAGGACATTCTGCACTTATTAACCAATCAACAACAGTGGTTAATCAAATGTAACTTTCTTTAAAAAACAAAATTCACTTGCCTGTGGTTTTATAAAAAAATTTTTGAAATTAAAAAATTTTAAATAGCATAACTCAAGCTAGTTAACAGGCCCTTTGTTTGTGTATTATTCAAAGACATTAGAGTTTTTTACCTGACTTGACTTTTTTCTCAAAATTCAGGAAATCCTACTGGCTCTACCTACAAAATGCATGTAGACCCCCGCCTACCAAATTTACTAAGTCAAAGCTGCTGCCATCTATTGCCTGGATTACAGTACAGCCTTCTAATTTGTTTCCTTGCTTCCACCTTTATACATGCCCCTTCCCCTCCCCAGATACCTTAAATCACTTCTTAGAAGAGCAGCCAGAGTCATCTTGTCAAAATGTACATCTAATGATGTCACCACTCTGCTCAAAATCCTCTAGTGGCTTCTTATCTCAGAGTAAACCAAAGTCCTTACAATGACTTATAAAGGTTTCCATGATCTGACAATCTCTTCTGTTCACCCCCAATACAACTCGTTCCTCCTGCAGCCCTGATGGCCGCTTTGTTATTCCTGGTATATGATGGGCACATTCCTGATCCAGCCTCTTGTATTCTGGCCCAGAGTGCTAGCTTGTTCTCTTATTTCCTACAGGTCTCTTTACTAAATTGTCATTTCTCACTATGATTGTTCCTGGACAATTTATCAAAAATTGTAACCTTTCTCCCTGACCTTTACTACTTATGTAACAATACTGTTATATAGTAACTCTGCTATTATGTTTCTGCCAAACATGAGTAGGAAATTTTGTCAGTTTTATTTACTGCTATACACATAGTGGCTGGTGCTCAATAGAGTCCGAAATTTTTTTTACTTAAGTTTACCTCAGGAAAAATCAGTAACTGTTTAGTTATAAGATGAACTGAATGCTAGAACCACCAAAAAGTACCTTTTAGTCTCATTTTTAATCTCATGGTGTTCTCTTTTCTTTTCCATCATTTTCCCCCATCTATTCTTCGGCAAATCCCTCTGAGGCAATGGTATTGCGTGCTGGACATAAAGGTCGGTAAGACTGTCTTTGTTTATTTTTGCATCAGTTTCAACAGCTATGTTCTTCTGTGGGGGGAAAAAAGTAATTTCAAAACAACATTCTTAATTTTAATAACTAACCATCTTACCTAACATGGTAAAACATTACTGCTTAAATCACAAATTAATTAAAAAACCATTTTCACAATAACATGAATACTTAAAGACAGCGTTATAGGCTACATTCTGTAAATATTAGGTTCAGCCCCATCTTAAAGACAATGGTCACATTTTCTCAGTGTGACAAGGATTGCTATCCACAACTGCTCAGCCAACATACCAAGCATGAAAGATCATTTTCCAGTATTATTACCTTAATATACAAGGGGATTGAAAATAGGGGACTGCCTGGGAAAAACAGACAAAAGAAAGTGAACAATGACTAGCAATCACCGCATTCTGTCAATAAGCTACCTTGAGTGTTGCTATCATGATCAGTTTAGTGGGATAGAGGTCTCAGTCTTGTCTTATATTTCTCATGCTTCTTTAATGTAGTACTTCCTAAACTGAAGTTAACTATAAAGATTTCAAACAACACCACAGATTGAAACTGTTATCCCCGTAGTGATGACGGTAACAGTACATCATTAGAAAAGCCTGCACCCCATTTTCACTGGTTCTTTCAAGTAAGCTTCCAGTCACTGTCCAACCACCTCTAACTAAATCACCTCATTCTTCCTTATTTTCCAATTTGTTCTGGACATCACGAAAAACATACAGCATAAACACAGGAGTGTCATGAAGACAGAGTTTGGATTTAAGAAGGAAAAGTGAGAATAGTAATGAGATCACAGGCTCTTCAATTTCAACTCAGAAAGGCTTGAAAACATTTGTGTTTTGGCAACTGACAAACCTATATCCTCTAACAAAATCTAATAAAAGCACATTTTACTTCTCTTTCATATATTGGACTAATTTATTTTCACCCTGTCCTCACTCAGAGGTAGGGGAAACTCCGAGGATTCCCTTGGACAACATTCCCAGAGAATTCATAAGCCCGTTACTTTGGGAAATATTGCCTTAGCAAAATTTCAGGGCACATTCCGTAACTACTGAACGAGAAACTGGGGACAGAGCCCAACAAACTGTGTTTTAGCAAGCCCTCGACTTAAGCCTCGTTCTTAAGTACATGAAAAGTTTGAGAACCACAGGTAAAAACGTACTGACATAATTAAGCTCTACTTGGCAAGAGGACTTGAAATTCAAGAAAGATAGGGTATCAAGGGGAAAACCATAAGGAAAACAACAAAATATGCTACTTAAACCCCAATGAAACTTTCAGTAATTCTCTATCACTTAAAACATCACGTTTTTCCTTTCTCATTTTTCGCCTACTATCAGAAGCCACACAGGCTGGAAAAGAACACGCGCTACATGAAGAGCCAGAAGCCCTGAATTCTCCTCCTGGCAGTACCATTTACAGATGTTGTGACCTTAAACAAGTCACTTCATCTCTCTGAACTGTTTTATCATCTTTAAACGGTGAGAGAGGGTGTGGAAAGGACAGTTTCTCAGACGCTTTCCAGCCCTGACAGTCGATGATTTCTACCTCCCCTGCCTATTCTACGCTTCTTCCCCACTTCCTTTCTTCCTCAGGTTGGTGCTCACACACAGGCAGAGGGGGTGGCCTGGGACTCCTCTTTCTAAGCCATCAGGATGGATAGATAAGCCCTATTTCCCAAGCATTCCTGATATTCTACGGGCGTCTATTTTTTCGGACAGAGGGCGAGGTGCGGGAGCGAGGGGACAGCTGGCTGTTCTGTATGGGTGGAGAGTGGCACAAACCCGGCGGGAGTGTCCGCAGTTACCCAAAGCTACTTAAGGAGAGCTCAGATGCAAGCGCCTCATCAGGGAAGGCCCACCCGTCCGCCCGCCCTCCACTCCGGCGCGCCCAACCTGCTCCAGAGTAAGGAGAAGGAACTCCTGGGACAGCAGCTCGGGGTGCAGCAGCAGTTCCGAGTCCGTGCAGCTGCGACCGCCCACATCCCCCGCCATCGTCGTCGCCAGGAGACCCCGGTCGGCTACCCACAAAGCCCCGCGAAGAAAGCGTTCCGGAAATGACGTACTCTGGCGGAGACTCGAGTGTGTCGTCACTCGAGTGCGCCGCACGTCGGGCTCTTTCTCTCGCTGCTGGATCCGGCGCTGGGGTCTGGTCTTGCTTGCAAAAATCTCCCAGGGACCAGAGAAGAGAGGGGGATGTCAGACGTAGAAACAAATGGCGTGTCAAGTTTGCAGGAAGAGAGAGAAGAGTGAAGTTCCGGGAGCCGACCGCGATTGGTCGCGCATTCTATGACGTCCCACGGCAGAGGCCAAAGGGATTCCTGGGGCAGCCTCGAGGGAAAGAATTCTGGCGCGCAGGGCTGGTATACATTACTCTAAATATGGCAGTGGTTGTGTCCGAACTTACCGTCTTTTTCTTTGTTTAACCTGTTTCTCGTCTCTTCAGGGCCCTCTGTATAATGTAAGACCAGAGGCTTTATTTAGTGAATTCCCTGTAACCCCGGCGCCTTGGACAAATAGGTATTCAAGTGTTTGTTTCCTGAAAAAATACTCTGAATTAATCTACTCACATGTAAAAAATAATAACCGTCTGAGAAACGCCAGTAATAACAGCCAAACGTTTGTTACATTTACAGTGTGCCAGAAAGTGCATTTTACGTGTATTATTATCACATTCCTCAGAACAGCCTAATGACGTATATATTACTATAATGCCTGTTTTTCAGATGAGGAAACTGAGGCATAGAAAGGATAATTTACTCAAGAGTGAGGAAGTAGCAAGCGTAAAATCCAAATCTTCTGCATGTAGTAATAGCTACAGTGAAGTAACTTTAAATCGCTGTAGGTATCAATTATAGTGTAATTCCCAGGAATTAATTTACTAAGAAATTTTCTCTTCTCTTTCACCATTCATGGAGAGATATATACCCCTAAATATTTTGCACATTTAAAACTTAAACTTGCTGGGCGTGGTGGCTTATGCCTGTAATCCCAGCGTTTTGGGAGGCTGAGATGGAAGGATTGCTTGAGGCCAGGAGTTCCAGGCCAGCCTGGGCAACATAGTAAGACCCCGTAGCTACAAAAAAATTGTTGAAAAATTAACCAGGCACGGTGGTGCCTCTGTAGTACTAGCTACTCAGGAGGTTGAGGTAGTAGGATCACTGGTGCCCAGCAATTCCACCCTGCAGGGAGGTAGGATCACCACACTGCACTTCAGCCTGGGCGACAGAGTGGGACCATGTCCGAAAAAATAAATAAATAATAAAACTTGCAGATAGGTTCTGAATGTTTATTGTATGCATCCTCTATGATGTATCATTTTATTGGAGATTATTGCATTGTCTACAAAAATAAGAACTCTGAGGATGCCAAAAGATAAACCTTGAAAGAGGACTAGAAGTGAGATCCTCAAGAAACAAAAAGCTGAGAAGTGTTTTGCAATTTTTCTTAACCATTTATGTATGTAATATTTTATGTCTAGAAACTGAATTTCAGATCTGAGAGGAAACTTAAAAGTTTCTCAGTCTAGTTCTTTCATGTTAGTGCCAAGAAAACTGATCAGAAAGAGATTACATGACTTGCCCAAAATTGAACAGTCCTAAATCTGGGCCTAGGCAGGCATCTGAGTGTCTTAAATTGGAGTTAAATGTATTAGCATCATGGTATTAACATCATGATATTCCATATCTCAAATCCGATTTTATTTTCATTACAGTAGTGAAATAAGTGTGATTAGTTATTATCCCCATTTCCTTCCCTGGGAGGCACATTGTTTTAGTATCAAAAACAGCTAGCTTGTAAGAATCCTGGGCTAGAAACCTGACCTCATTTCAAGTTTTACTCTGTTGCACTGAGACCTTGGGTGAGTTACTCAGTTTCTCAGCCTCAGTCCCCTCATCAGGAAAATGTGGTGTTAACACTTTCTGTGAAGAATGATCAAAGGAGTGGAGATTATAGAGATTATAAACACACTTGGCACAGAGTAAGTTTAAGAACTGGCAGCTGGTTTTTATAAAGTTAACAGTCATAGAAGAGAGGAAAGGGCAGGCTTTGGAGTGACTCAGAGTTGGATTATAACCTTGGCTTCTTTAATCACCTAGGACATATACTCTCCAACTGTAGCTTCCTTCCCTCTGAGATGGAAATTATAAGCCATCTTGCAGTGTTTTGAGGATTGGAGTTAGTGTATAAAATGCCTCTTCTGTTGGCTCTCCTTGGAGATTTGTCGTATCCTATTGATTGTCATCAAAGGAAAGAAGTGGCAGGATGATGGCATAAGAGGGAAGAACCTTGAGTTTAATAGTCTGAAAAAGTGGTTACAGGTTATTGCTGTGCTTTTTTCTCTCTGTGGGTTTCTGAACCCATCACCTAACCTGAAGCCTCTAACTTCATCTGCAGAAATGTTTTGTGCCAGGTAAGATGTCTTTTTTTCTCCCAGTACTTCCCAGTTTAAAACTAAGGGTACTTCGTTGGTTAAAACTAATTCTATTAATATTATTCTAGGTGCCTGTAAAGCAGAACTCTTGAGATCGAAGGAGTGTTGTCTGAGGGAAAAAAAAAAAAAATCACCATTAAGAGAGGAGGAACTTGAATGAGATTTACATACCCTCTCTCTTCCAAGGGAGGAGAGAATGTTTGGTGATGCCTGCCCACTCCTTCTGGGCAGACCCCTTGTAGCATGGAACATTGGAGAATTTGCAGTCTGCTAACTGTTTCTGATTTAGGAGGTTGGTGGGGAGGCCTTTTAATTTGCATTTCTAACAAGTTCTGAGGTGATGCTTCAAATATGTCCAGGCAGAAGGGCTGCCTCACAGTGATTTCTGCCATACCACATGGGAATTGAATTCACAGGTATCTCTAACCCTTGAGCCTGAAACCAAAAGACTCAAAAACAAACACTAAGTGGACAAAGAATATCTCAGAATTTCTGTGGAGACCAGTGACACGAGGGTCTCTCTCTTCTCATCTTGGCACTTCAGAAATCTCCCGAGTCTGGATATAGCAGTGGGGAAGGGTGGGGCCTCCCGTTGATAAGATTGTCACTGCAGATAAATGGAGCTTTCAAATTGAAAGAAAGAAGGAGGGCTTCCCGTTGATAAGATTATTGTCACTGTAGGTAAATGGAGGCTTCAAATAGAAATAAGTTTCAGTTACAGAAAAGAAAATATCTTTGTTTTACACATTTGAGTTTGCAGACCTAAGGTTCCTCCTGCCACACTATCATCTGTAACCCTAAGGCACTCAACATTTTAAGCTAACGATAAGGATTTTCACTTCACTCACAGATCCTAAGGTTTTATTCACTAACATTTTTATTTGGTGACGATAGTTGACAAGAACAAAGCTGTGGGGAACAAACAAAACACTGTGGTGCCTGGCATTGCCACCTCACTAGATTGTGAGTTCCTCTGGGACAGGGTCCATACATTTCCTTCTTATCCCTCACTTAGCCATTAGCATGCACAGTGCTTGTATTTAGTAGGTGCTCAATAAATGTTTGTGGAATGAATGCATGATGAACCAAATCTATACTGAGGACTCTGGGGTTGATTCTTGTTGATAATGTAATATTGCTAAGATATTTATGTTATAAATATGTTACAAATATTGTGTCAAAAATATACTTGAGCAGGCTGGGCGCAGTGGCTCATGCTTGTAATCCCAGCACTTTGAGAGGTTGAGGCGGGTGGATCACTTGAGGTCAGGAGTTCGAGACTAGCCTGGCCAACATGGTAAAATCCTACCTCCACAAAAATTAGCTGGGTGTGGTGATGGGTGCTAGTAATTCCATCTACTTGGGAGGCTGAGGCAGGAGAATCACTTGAACCAGGGAGGCAGAGGTTGCAGTGAGCTGAGATCACGCCATTGCACTCCAGCCTGGGCGACAGAGCAAGACTCCGTCTCAAATAAATAAAGATAATCTAGGCCAGATGTGGTTGCTCATGCCTGTAATCCCAGCACCTTGGGAAGCCAGTTGGGTGGATCACTTGAGGTCAGGAGTTCAAGACCAGCCTGGCCAACATCTGTCTCTACTAAAAATACAAAAATTAGCCCAGCATGGTGCTACATGCCTGTAGTCACCGAAACCCAGGAGGCTGAGGAAGGAGAATCGCTTGAACCTGGGAGGTGGAGGTTGCAGTAAGCTGAGATTGCACCACTGCACTCCAGCCTGAGTGACAGAGACTATGTCTTAAAAAAAAAAAAATCTAGTTAATCAATATTTCAATATTGAACATCAAGAATTTTAAAGAATTGGTTGAATGTTTTCTACGTGCAGAAAGATAGAGCAGAGAACCTAGACACAATCCTTGCCCTCCTGAACGTATACCCGGTGAGAAAGTGAGGAGCACAGAGTATGCATAAGTGTAAAGATTAAGTTTCGAGAGTAGACAGCAACTATGAAAACATAGTTATAGCTGTGCAGCTCAGTTTTCATTAATCGTTGTTCTCATTGGAACACATCTTTTTAACCTTCTCCAAAATACTCAACGTGGCTGGGCACCGTGGCTCACGCCTGTAATCCCAATACTTTGGGAGGCTGAGGTGGACAGATCACTTGAGGTTGGGAGTTTAATACCAGTCTGTCCAACATGGAGAAACCCTGTCTCTAGTAAAACACAAAATTAGCCAGGCATGGTGGCACATGCCTGTAATCCCAGCGACTCGGAAGGCTGAGGCAGGAGAATTGCTTGAACCCAGGAGGCGGAGGTTGCAGCGAGCTGAGATTGTGCCATTGCACTCCAGCCTGGGCAACCAGAGCGAAACTCCATCTTAAAAAAAAAAAAAAAAAAAACTCAACACTTGGTATGGGCCCAAGGAATATTTAATACGTATTAAAAAATGAAGTTAATAATTGCTTTGAAAGCCATATGACTGATATTTCTTCTTAAATGTAACCAATAGAAACAATATAAGGAATTTGGCCTATGCACATGTTTGCACATTTATGGTACAGGCATTTACATAGAGGTACCTGTCATTTGTGACACAGACTTCTCAGCAAGCTTCAGAAGGAACAGCTGTTTCTAGATGGAATAATATGGAGCATGCCATTATAAGAATCCTGTGATAAATCCTTTCATAAATATTTCTGAATGATCTCTTTTGTTATACATTTTAACTCCTGGATCATCTAAAGTAGAACGCAAAGATTGTTCATAAACCATTCATTCAAGACAGATT